CCCTGAAATCCAAAACACACTGCCGGTCAGATGTTTTTGAACACAATGTTTAAGACAGTTTTAGGGATGTGTTCTTTGGAAATGCTCAAACAAACAGGAGCAGACTGAGCCACACACCAACCTGAGCTAAACAACACACAATCTGCATCTCCTGCCAGGTCACACTGAGTTAACCGCTTGGATCAGTGTTTAAAACAAAGGCCTCGTCTGTGCAACAAAGTACAGGTGCAAAAAAAACCCCTAAAACTCACAAACATTTCTCATTTCATCTGCTTTCAACATCTGCGCTGGTAGCTGAGATGAACTCTGTCTGAGTTTGTGTGACACAAGTAGGCAAGAGGACGCTTGTTTGTGTGGCGTGTTTGCCGTCGACACACAGCAGCTTGGTGTCCATGTAAAGCTGTAAACAAATGTTGTGAGGAAACAGAAAGCTGGGGTGTGTCCACTGAAGCTCTGACATCGGACCAACCGAGCAGCAGAGCTGAGCCCGTTCTAACCACCTGGGCCCTGCAGGTACACGACGCTTCTGTCACGTATTTCAGTATTTTACTATATTAAAATAACCACACGAGGCAAATTGCAATCACTGGTGACTGTTTACTGCCAGCGAGGTTAAAGGTGGCTGCAGGCCAGGAGGGACTTTAGTTTCACATTCTTCAGTTTTATGATGTTATGATTCGTTTCTATTGTTTTATAATGACTTTTAATGTCTTGCTGTTATTGCACCGCCTGAACATACAGCATGGGCATGTGACAAATAAAAACTGAGTGAGTGAGTTTGGCCCCATTTACCAGCAACCGTAGATAAGATAAGATCAGCCCTTATTTATCTCACAGTGGAGAAATTCACATTGTTGTCAGCAGCAGCACACAGAGAAACACAAGAATAAAAATACACATACACAAAAGAATAGTGCAAGCACAGAATATAGAAATGAGGATATATAGAAAAGATATATATGTATATATATATATAATGAAGATATAATAGCAATGGATGAAAGTTTGTAAAACTACCACTGTAGAGACGGGTTTTGTCGATGATCCTTTGCTCTCTTTGTAAACTCTATCCACCTCTTTGTCAACTCATTACTCTGAGGAACTATAAATAAGGAGACTGAGCTGTTGTGCAGTTTTTTGCATGCAGGGAGGATGCATTTCCTGGACGATGGCATAGCGAGCTAGAAAACTGTAGCTCGAGCAGGAGAACCGCTGATGCTAACATGCTGTAGTTCCTATAGCGGCATGCTGTGCTGTGATCTCTGGTCCACTACAAAAATGCTGAAAATCAGTTTAACTCCACAATTCAATGCGACATAGTCTACCGACTTCTCACATCTTCTTAGGTTCTGAAATCTTCAACGTGATGAGAAATAAGAAACGCATTTCAATAAAGGGAAACGGGTTTCACTGACTTTAATTTGAGCTCTAGACTAAAACACCTGCACACACCAGCTCTGTGAATATGCAAAAGCACACAGATTAGGGTTTTTTTTCTCTTTTCTTGCTATTTTAATACAATTAAACCTTTAATATCCGGTTATCTCCACCCCCCTCATCGCCATTCTCACCCAACCGGTCGAGGCAGATGGCCGTCTTCCCTGAGCCTGGTTCTGCCGGAGGCTTTTTTCCTCCCTTGCTTGGGGGTTTCTGGTTCCTTCCCACTGTTACTAACCGCCTGCTCAGAGGAAGTCCAAAGGCTACTCTGGATTGTTGGGTTCTCTGTTCAAATTTGTAAGGTCTATACCTGACTAGGGCTGCAGGTGGCTCGTCTGGAGTCTCCATGTTCTCCCCGTGCAGCGTGGGTTCTCTCCGGGTTCTCCGGCTTCCTCCTACAGTCCAGAAACATGTTGAAGTTAATTGGTGATTGTAAATTGTCCGTAGGTGTGAATGTGAGTGTGCTTGGTTGTCTGTCTCTAAGTGTAGCCCTGTGATAGACTGGTTACCTGTCCAGGTGAACCTGCCTTCACCCTGAGCGCTATGTGATGGAATATGTTGTAAACTGCGATATAGAAATAAAATTGAATTGAATATTAGACGAGAATGAAATGCTCAAAGTCATCCTAAGAAGACAGAATCTCCAGCTGCAAAGTGTACATGGCTGCTCAGGGATGAGTTTTAGAACATGCTGACCACTAGTTCAGGCTACTCTTTTTACACTGACATCCTTGATTTCATATTCCACTCCGCCGGGAAGTCTTCCTCAACAACACTCGTGGGTGTCGAGTAGTCAATCGAAAGCGTGGAATCCCACGAGGGCCCTCGCCGAGCACCACACAGGTCAAGTGCTACCGGAAGCCGGAGACGCATGTGCGCGCATGTGTAGATGTCCATGTGCGTACTTTTGTCTCAGTACATTTGTGATCCACGCACAGAGGAGTGCAGCCGGAAGCTGTGCACTCTGGTGCCTGGTGTGGGAGTCGGGTTATTGAAATGAGAAAGACCCCGCAGCCTGAAAGATTCACATATCAGCTATTCTCGCCTGAATGGTGATGTGTCAGAATGTAAGAGGCGTCAGTGATCAAAAAATGAGCGCCGCCCACAACCCGAGGGCTCGGCTGGACGGTAAGTCTAAAGCGGCGTTTATGTAATTTGATGTTTACGCAATGAAAAGAATCGGACTGGAGCTGAGGTGGATGGCAGCGGTAGATGAGGGGGTGGGGACGGTGTGCACCCACCTCGCCGTAATTATCATATTTCAGAGGAAATTAGACTGCTGGAGGGAGTGTAGTATATATATTTAGAGTAGATTCTAAACATTTAGAAAAGGAGATGAGGTGTGTTTTTATACTCTGACAAAGTAAAAAAAAAAAAAAGGTCCACTGACTGAGTTTTGATTGAAGTCCTTTTAACGCTGCTGGTGCCTGAACACAAGACTTGATGCAACAGGCTGCAACGTACACCGTGTTCATGCTGTTACATGAAAACGTAATTGTGCTGACCCTCATGTTTTCACTTCAATTTAAGGATAAACTTGTGTTATGGGTTGAGTAACGTCTCCAACCGCGTGGGTTTGTGAAATCCCTTTAAAACCCTGTTGTATGGGATTGAGTAAAGACTACGACTGTGAGTCAAGACCTGTGTTTATAGATTTACCCAAATCAGGTACAATTTAATGGCTTAACTGAGTGGCAGGTCTTTGCTGGAGGTGTATGAACAGATATTTATTTGTGAACAAGCGCCATGGAAGAACTATTGCATAAAGTTAAAGCATGTTTACTACACATCAAACATTTGTGACTAGAAGCAGCATTGAGTGCTATGAAACGGTTATAAACTCACTCTGAAGTCTTACCATCAGACACATGAACATACCATCAACTAATAATCCTCCTTTTAACTGCATTACCACACAAGAACAACACAACCTTCATTACAATCCTCAACTCTGTGAAGCCATCTTAGTTACAGCTTTGGTTCTCCACCGCAAACTATACTCTTATTAATGTCTTTTTATGGCACCAGACAGAGATTTCTGCAGCAAAAGATTTTAATAAATCAACTGAAAGCAACTACAATTAAAAAGACAGACAGACAAAGCGCAGTGAACCAACGCAGATCAGCCACAAGATTAAAACCACTGACAGGTGACGTAAACAACACTGAACGTCTTGTCATGATGCACTACTCTGCTGGAACACCTTGGCTCCTGGTATTCATATGGATGCCACTTTGACATGTACCACCAACCTAAACATTGTGGCAGGCCAAGCACACCCCCACCAATGGCGGCAACCTCCTTCAACACAACAACTTGTAATGCTGCACTGAAAAACTGCTCAGGAGTAGCTTGAAGAACATGACCAAGAGCTCAAGTTGTTGACCCAGCATCCAAACTTCCCACGTCCCAATCTGATCCACGGAGGCCTCAACGGGCAATCCACAAGACCCAAAGATTTGCTACCAGAGGTACCTTGTTCAAGTTTCAACAGGTCCTAGCCATGTCGGTAGCAGAATGTTAACCTACACAACATTACGAAGGTGTATATGTGAGCCTCTAAGTGCTAAAAGGTTAGATCCAAAAATGGAAAAGAAAGAATCCAGAGCTGTGATCAAGTACGACCCCCAAGGAAATCCACGAAGACATGGTCAGCACACGTGGTGAGAACCTCCTTTGCTATTTAACTGTAAAGCAGTGGGCTGTTAACCCAGGGTCACCCATGAAAACCAGCAACCAGAGGTAATCAAGTGCAGGCCATCATCCACCACATGGTCATCATGGACATGTGACTGACCAACACTTAGCGTCCAACTCCGGCATCTTTCTTCTCACTTGCTTTCCAAAAAGGCGTCATGTGCAAAGAAACAAACATTATGAGATTTGGTAGAAGATCATGTAAGGCTTTATAGGATACAGTTATGTCCCAAAATGGGCCCTTGGTTTCTTATGTAATTTGGACCAAATTTCAAGATGGCGGCTGTCCACTGACTTCCACACAGCGCTGAAATGAATGCAACATAGGTAGGGCAGGAAACTGGAGCAAATAATGCAAAAAACAAAACATCAGCAGGACAAAGCTGTACTTTAACAGGATATTTTTTCAGCACTATTTAGCTCAGAGGGGTATAGTTCAGCTCATAGCTTATTTCTTCTAAGAGGGAGGTTCATCCTGCCACTTGCTAACAGGACTTAATGACAGAATTCAGCACGTAAAACGCAATGAGCACCGAACAAAACCATCTAGAAGCTCTTTCTCACTGATTTTTAAGTCACTGAGCTCAACATACAAACACACACACACACACACACATACATTCCGGGAGGAAACCTTACACCTCCCATACTCCAGCTCTCCAACAAAAACACTGTTTTGGCAGCACCAGCAAAGAGAGAAGTCGACGGAGGCCGTGCCAGCCAATCGGGAGCTCGCTAGATTTCGATTTCGCGGCTCCTCCTCCGCGATTGGCCGGAGCGTCCCCAGGAGGCACCCGCCCCCGTGTTCTGATTGGCCGGTTTTCCCGGCTCTGTGGAAGTCATTTGAATACGCCTCGCTTTGTGGCTCATTACGGCGCTGCTGGTTCAAATAATTGAGTGAAATAACTGGAGCGGAGACACACAATGGAGGAGAGTACGGCACCGAGACGCAGCTGAAACGCTCCTCTGCGTGTTACACAGCGAGCAGCGTCCGTCTGGTGTCACAAGACATCACTAATAGTTTGGATAGTCTCGTCTCCTTTTTTCTTTTTCAACCGTTTCTTGCCGAAAAGTGAGTCCGGACCTTAAAGCTGCACCACATAAAGAGGTGAGTTGCTCTGGGTGTGGATGATGGAGGTATTTAGAGAAACTATTAACTTTATTCTTGTTCTAATTAAGTTTTATGGTCAGAAATTTATTTTTTACAGCATTGAAATGTGTTATATAACTCCTGGATGCGTGATAAAAATACACTTTATTGCACAGAATGGTGTTTACAAGCTCTAATTTCATTGCATTAAGCACGTAGATTGTTTGTAATGGAAGTTTATTTTACTGCTGCAACGAGCCTAATGTCTGAAAATTAAACTTTACAGCCAGTAAATTGTGTTAAATCAAAGGGACTCTGCATCATTCTCCCCAGTGTCCAGTTTCCTCTGCCTGCTTTTGTTGTTGTTGTTGTTATTGTTTACCTCCTCCCATATGAGCTTTATAATTAGGCTGGCTGTCAGACACAACCAGCCTTACTCACCAGCACCTGTGATGGTCTGTGGTTGCACAGCGTGGCTTTTTCACAGTCAGCTCTTACTTTTACTGTTATGACTCAGTCAGAAGCCCATAATGCAGCCCAGGCATGGTGGCCTGGTGTGTGAGAGGGAGAGAGAAAGAGGGAATAACAGATTGTGTCTGTGGGGGAAAGAAGAAAGACTGAGAGAAAGTGTGTGAGGCTTTTTAAAGTCTGGCCAAACAGGCTTTAAAAAGCTCCGTTCTCTCTGCAGACCTCCACATAAACCCGTGAAACGAATGCCGCTTCCCAGGAAGCTCTGGAACAGGCTGAATAAATCTCTAATGAAATGGTTAAACACATTTAATAATTAACACCGAGGCAGTCACATTTGGGACTTTACCTGGTTTAAAAATAGTCTCACGCTTCCCTTCTGAAAGTCCAGCCTAAAAATGCCTCCATTGTGCTGCGAGGCAGAGGTTTGTGTGATCTGTGGACAACACTAAACTGTGTGTGTGTGTGAGAGCTTAGGTTTATTATATCCTCGCAGCAGAGGAGATAATGTGTCTTTATCCTTTCTGGCTCTGGGTTAATGCTGGACTAGCCTACCAGATGATACAGTAGACAGGTGTGGGTGTGCGCTCATGAGGTTACATGTGAGAAAAGGCGCCTTTAAAGCAGCGTGTATTGGAGTAAAAGATGAACTCCGGCTCATCAGCGGGTATCTCCCGGGTCGATCTGGTGTCCGGCTCTGGTCGCTCGTCCATCAGACGTACGGGCAGCTTTATTTGGAGGCGGTCATCGGGTCACAGCGTCTGGTGTTTTTACGGCGGCTGCAGGCCTCAGCTGACCTTCCTCCAGCAGGGAGAGGGGCTGTTTGTTTGTGCCGTTTCCTCCCACGTTCGGTACGTTGGTGACGTGTGAATCCTGGCGGTGATGAATAGAACAGTGATGCAGGCTGGGAGCGAGGAAAGCAAACCAGAACCTGTGTTTTTAAGCATAAAAATGGCTTCTTTCTGCTGCTGCGAGACCCCAGAAATCAAAGCATCCTATTGAAAAGGAAGACTCAGGGTCAGGATGAAGAAGTTACCTCAGATTTGTTTGCACCTGAAGGAGCTTAACCCGGTTTGGTAGAAGAACAGCCCTGCATGTTTTCCTTTTACAGGTATCTTGACTTCTGAGAGCAGAAGAGTGCTCCGACAAGAGTCTTCTGGTATTTTTTTTCCTGTAAGAACGTGAAAAAAGGTGTCTTTTGTTTGCACCACAGGCGGTAAAGGTACTCTCTGTCCATTTGCGCTTTATGTTTTCCAATTAAAATCAGCAGCTTGTTTCCACTTGACTCACTGGGCGGCTGCAGGAACGCTTGCACCACCGTCTGCCAATCGTAGTTTCAACAGCAGGGTGGAGCTGGTTGGTACCGCAGTGGGATTCAGCTCGCATCCAAGTAATTTAAGGTGTACCAACAACTAGCGAGCGAGCAAGTGTGATAATTAGAAGGTTGAGTGTGAGGCTTGCAAAATTAGAAGACTCCAACGATTTCAGTTCATCTCATTCGACTGTGGTATTCTGATGTCAGGTGCAGTCGACTCCCACACGAGGAGACAAATCAAAGTTGGAGAGCGAAATCCTGCCGGCTGACATCATCTCAGCTGCTCTGTTTAAAGGTTAAGTCTTGAAAAACCGTCTGTTGCGCAGATTTGATGAAACCACATTAAGTGATATGTGCACAGGCTGAACTTTAGCCTCGTTTATTGGTATAAATAAACCCGACTGCCAGGGGTTTCCCTCAGACTAACACGCTTCTCTCGCTCACACGTCTCACAGGCTGCGACTTATTAGTGTCAAAGTACATTCGGTACTGAGAAGCACAGAGATAGCGCTGCGCTACGTTGGCCTTTTACCGCTCTGACAAATGGTTTTACACGTCCTCCTTATCAGGCCATTCCTACTGACAACTTTGTTCACCTGTGTGTTGAACTTTACACAAATTAGTGCGACTTGAAGAGGCTTGGCTCGCCATTAGAGCCCCACTGGAGCTGATTAAATTGCCCAATTGCTTCCAATAAGCCGTGTAATATGGACTGATCAGGACAACACGGTCAGTAACGCCGACAGCTCCGTGGTGTTTGTTGTTTTCTCGCCCCTGGCCCTGCTCGAAGGCCTCAGATTGGATTAGATGGAACAAAACGCAGAATTCAGACAGAATGTTCTCTGGTTTCTTTTAGCTCCTGCTGGATTTAACCATCAGGGCCTTTCAGCAGTCAGTTAGTGGGTCAGAGAGGACAGAGATGCTCGCCGGGGTCAATTAACTGTGAAATATTTAGAATGACAAAGTTAGCCGCAGACTGTTTGCACGCTGTTTTGCATGATCGCGCTGTTTATCATTGACCGTAGCGCGCTGCGTGCGGGCAAATGCGACGCCTTAAAGTTTGTTTTGCACTGATTTGGAGCTGCTGTTGTCCTTGAGTTTCTGCAGACACGTGCACCACGTCTACCTACGTCAATAAATGCCTTTTGTTGGGCTCCTTTATCAAGGCCACGGAGACGGGTTCCCTAATTGCACTTGTACATAAAAGAGCTGATTATAAGACATGACCTCACGGCAAATGAGCTATAATAAGACTCACACCTTGCAGGAGAATGAGAGAAGTCTGCTTTACTGGTTTGACTGATGTAAAAACAGCAGCAGTGATCCCGGCCCTGGGCTCAGGCAGAGGCTGGGCGTCATCGTGTGTGAAAGCTGCTGTGTGTGTGTCTGATCTGCTGTGATCTGCTCTGATCTCTTCCTGGGTGTCTTTGTGTGCCTGTTAATGCCATGACAGGATAGATAATACCTCTATTGTTGGAGACCTCCCCCTCGTTCCTCCTCCCCTCGCTCCCGTTGGGCTCGGCGTGGTGAGGTGTACCCTTTAAAACCACATTAAATGATGAGAAAGAGTCAGAAAGAGTCTGTAAAGCTGCCTTCAAACAGGCGTCGGACACTGAAACCTTAACATACAGTACATTGTGTTGTCTTTCTGAATCAGTTTGGACACGTCTGACTGGTTTTTAAATCTATTAGTACGCGGTGTTTGCCGGCGGCGCTATCAAAAGTTCAATTAGCTTTAACCATCTGATAAACTGGGTTATGACATTTTGTGCAGCACCGGCTCCGGTCGGTGCCATTTGTCAACGCAGGAGATATTTCGTCTGCTGTGTCACGTTACAGGAACAGACGCCAGCTGGAAGGGAACTGCACCTAAAGCGTGCAATGCTGCTCCAGCCTGTCGAAATGCTTTAGCAAAAGAGCAAAAGAGCGGCGCGACGTTCTCACAGAACCATACATCTCTGCCTCCTCCTGTACTGTCAGAACCACATCAGACTGGGTCCTAAGGCTGCAATCTGCACAGTTTACAAACAAGAGAATGTAAACAATGCTTTTAATATGAAATTACGCTCCCAATGCCATCATTAAGGCGTCCGCAGAGAGGCCAACCTATGATTTAGACCCAGTGCAATTTCAGTGCTGCAGCGTGGAAGCCACAACTATCCGAAGGGTCAACTTTTCAGGAAGCCGGTCTGGAAAAACCCAGATTGAATTTTTAGTTTTCCCTCTTGTGTAAGGTCACCTTCCAGTGCAAACAGAGGCTCGAAGAAAAAGAAAGGGTGGGGAGTAAATATCACCCAGCGTGGACTCTTATCTCCGCCTGACCACACCGGTCGCGCTTTCTCCTGATTGCGAGTCAAGGAAGGTAAAGACTCTGTAAGCTTTTAACCGAGTTAGAAGGAGAACAGCAGGCTGAGATCAGCGGGTTCAGAAGAAGAGCTGGCACCGGACCGGCTTACACTGGCTCCATGCCAGGCGCTGTGGTATACGAGTGTGTGTGTGTGTGTGTGTGTGTGTGTGTGTCGCTCAGGCCGTCATTTGTTTATGTGTGACATGTGTGTGTGTTTGGATTATACCGGCATGGGGCTCGGCGCCACAGTGGACGAGGGGTGTGTGTGTGTGTGTGTGTGTGTGTGTGTGTGTGCGTAAGATGTTGGCCGAGGCAGACACTCCTCTGCCGGCGCTGTGACGGACAAACAAAAGTCTGCTGGATTCCTGGCACTGTGAATGTGTATACGTCGCTGTGTGAGGTATGTGTGCGTGAGGCTCGGCTAACGCTGGCAAGTGTTGGCCAGACGGACAACAGTAGCAGGATAAAGATGGCTCCGGAGTTAAAGCACGCCTTGGTGGTGACCTGGGATCAGCTTACCAACCTCAGATCCAATTATCTCAACCATTAAAGGCAAAAAAAAAAGAAAAAAATCAGCGCTGTTTTGAGATCATCCATCTGTCGGCCTGTTGTTCTTCAACCGGTGCGACGAAAGATCCTATAAAGCAAAGGGCAGCAGAAAAACATAAAAGAAATCTGCTCCTAAATGCTGATTTGTAGAAATTTCAGCAACAAATGACTTGATGACAAAGTGAATTTCACAAGCAGATGTCGTTTCAAGTTTTCAAAGCCCAAAAGAATAAACAGAGGAGGGGTAAAATTATGTGATTAAGTGCAATTACTCTCACAGACGCAGACGTTGCAGAGCAGCTCAAACTGATATTTTCACAACACCTGAACGCGGCTTAAACACCGGCCTCGTTCCCAGGAGGGGAGGCGTGCTGACGTCGTACGGAGGCGGGAAAGCAGGAGACGGTTGTAATCAGGATGTTCATGTTGACTGAAGGATGGTTTTGGACTGCAGAAGCACTGATACTGTGGAGACTTTAACCTTAAAGCTTGTTCTAGTGAGGGCTGAAACTGTTGTTGAATGATTAATTAGCTGATCACTACAATCACTGCATGGTTATGTGTCAGTTTGGCCTTTTTAGCGTATGGATTTACTGCTTTTTAATTGGACAGATTTGGCTTTTAGGCAGTTGATTGGACAGAAAAACAAGATAACATGAGGGCGGTGGAAGGAAAGAGTCCAACCTTTTTATACCTTTGTGTGCATAGTGTCAGCTGCCCTCCAGAAGGGCTGCAAGATGAATAAATTAGACTTTTAGGGGATGGATTTCAGGAGTTACTGCAACAGGTAATGTGGGAAAAAATTAATAAGCAGAATTGATCATTACAATGAAACACAGGAACATTGAAGGTGTTTAATTTGCTGCTCTAACCACAAATGGACAACCTGACTGGGATAGAGTTACATATGCAGTGGTTTTTATCCTGACCTCTTCTGTGTCCTCTCTAAAGGTCATCATGCCTCCCACGACCCCGTACGCCGGGAAGTTCAGCTCCTGCGCTCCTTACGGCAACAACAACAACCACCCTCAGCCCCAGAGCCCGTATCGCAGCAACTCCGTCCCGAAGCAGTCGAGGGAGAACGTCTACAACGGCGCCTGCTCCGCCGCCGACAACCCCTACGACGTGCCGCATCACCACAGCGCCTACCGCAGCGCCTCCGTCTCCTCTGTGACCTCCAAGGAGCACCACTACAACAGCAGCTGCGCCGTCTCGGAGAACCCGTACTCCTCGCCGCAGCCCCACAGCCCTCGCCAGCACAGCACTTCCTGTCCGGGCCGAGCGTACCGCCACACCAGCAGCAGCAGCGGCAGCGAGCAGTCCTGCCGCAACAACGCGGCGGCGGCGGCGAAAGCTCGGCTCTACGGGCACGGCATCACCGCCAGCTACGGGGAGATGTGTTACCATGACAATAGTTTGGTCTCAGCTTCTCTTGAGGCGCTGATCCAGCACCTGGTTCCCACAGTGGACTACTACCCTGATGTAAGGCTCCGCTCATGAATAACACTTTATTGTCTCGTTCAGCCTGAGCTCGACCTCTGAAAGCTGTTTTTTTTTTTCCCCTCGTCACCAGAGGTCATATGTGTTCACCTTCCTGCTGAGTTCGCGCCTCTTCCTGCACCCGTACGAGCTCATGACCCGGGTTTGTCACCTGTGTGTGGAGCAGCAGCGGTCCGGAGATGCCCTGCTGGATAAGGTGCTTACTCACACACTCACTCACACACACTTGCAGGTATAATTATTTCTCTCCTTGTCACTCTCTTTCTCCCACGCAACCTCACACCTACTATAAAATCCACAAACTCGCTCACCCACACCTTGTTTTTGGGAGAAAGTGTTTATCTGCTATTTCATAAGCAGGCAGAAAAGCTTCAGATTGACTCGGGGTAAATAAGAAAGAAGAGAACGCTCTAAACGGAGAGAACACCGTGAACAAATCAGCATATAATAGCAGTGTATGGTGTCAGGGAGACAGACAGCGCTGGCTGCTAAAACATAAAGGCCGTGAGGTTTGGATTCGCTCGTAAGAGCTTTTAAATGGAGTCACGTCTGACTCGGTGTCGCTTGTTGCGCTACGCTTTGTTTGTCTCAGATCCGTTTCCGTGAAGTGGCGCCGAAGCTGGTGCAGCTCTTAACCGAGTGGACGGAGACGTTCCCGTACGACTTCAGGGACGAGAGGATGATGCGCTGCCTCAAGGACATGACGCACCACGTGGCGCGAGGAGATGAGGTCAGAACCCCTGAGGTCTAAAAGCTTCAAGGAACTAACACCAGAACCAGAGCTTCTTAAGCCTGCATCGCCTACAGGTGTGCTAAATATGGCCGCCTTAGTTCTTACGATTTGCTCTGTGGTGTGTTTGCAGTATTCTTGGCGAGCCATGCAGCAGATGACCCAGCGTCTCATCAAGCGCCTGTCGGCCCTCGGACAGTACGAGGAGGCCGTGGCGGCGCTCAACGCCGTGGCCATGGAGCGGCCCGCCTCCCTCAAGAGCAAGCAGGGCTCGGCTCAGCGGAACGACGTACTGAGCGTGTGCGACGACCCCTTCGTGCTCGCCCAGCAGCTAACGCACATCGAGCTGGTAAGAGTGTTAGAATACAGGATGTGTGCATTTATATATGTATATGAATGTAAGATGTACGAAACCTAGCGTGTCAGCTCATCGTATTGTGAGATAAAACAGTGCTGTCCTGGTTTGAGGATTATTTTCAGTGTTTTTGTGGTTACCGCTTTACAGCCTGTTTTTAACGAACTAAATTTAGTAGATTTATTGTTCTGGTCGTGCACCAGAACATGCTTTTATAGCCGAGATGTAAAGCTTCATGTAAACGTGCAGTTTGTCTTCTTGTGTGGCGACTCATTGAATTTCTGTTTCATGTTTTCCTCATAAAACTTTGGTGCGATCTGTTTTTGAGACGGAGATGCTTGTAGAAATTATACAGATCAGTTGTTTTGAGACTTGTTTCTATTTTCTGCCAGTCAAAATCATTAAATCAGCTTCATCATCCTGTGTCTTACTATTATTGTTAATCCTGTCCTCCTGTTACTGTTCTGTCCTGCAGGATCGACTGAGCTTCATCGGTCCGGAGGAGTTCATCCAGACGTTCGCTATGAAGGATCCTCTGGAGAACCATAAGGTACGACTGAGTTTGTCTCTCTTCAGTTTTTCAGTTTCTTGTAGCTCGCGAGGAGTTTTTATGTCGTTTGGCACGGTCCTAATTACAATCCTGGGAGACACTCACACATTAAACATAATCACAGCCTTTCAACCGGAAACTTGAATTATACTTGTCCCTCATTTGTCTGTTTGCTTTTTTCCTTCTGCTAGTTTATGAATTTTCTAAATGATGACAGCTGTATTTGCTTTGCACAAGACAAAAAAATGGTAGAAATGGATCTCGCTCCAGCCGGAGCTGGCAGACGTACAGATCTAACGGCTACGGCTCGCTGCTTATGGTGAGAACGCAGCACCGCGACCTGTTTATAATCACCGGCATCAAAGGAGCAACACAGACAAACCGCAGATTGTAGTTATTTTTAAGTCATTCTCAGTTATTTTGATTTGAAGTGTGCTTTTCTGTGTAATTTGTGGTCTGCTTCAGTTCGACTTAATTTGCCTCCGAAGCCACATGACAGAGCGACGGCTCTGCCGGCAGATAGACGAGGATCCGCGCAGCTTTATTTTTACCGGTAGTAAACAGATAGCCTTCCTCCGTACGCTCTGAGTGCATCTGAGGGGCTCTCTCCAATCCTGAGTGGTCCCGAAAGTCAACCGAAGGGTCGCTTTCAATCAGCGCCGCTTAGAACAAGCTCTCGCGTCGGTTATGTAAGACCCACTTTGGATAAAAGAGCGGTTGAGTCAGCGAAAGGGGTCCTGAAGTGTAGAGGGGAAGTTTTTGAGTTGAGTGGGCTGCCGGTGTTGTGTAAGGACTTAATAGAACCGCGAATCTCTGGGATTACATCATCGCGGCCAAGTCAGGTTTATTTATACCAAGCTTTTATAATGTTTATTTATATAGAAGCGGACCTCTGGCAAACAGGTCCGCCGCAGAGTGTTTCGCAGGAGAAGCCCGAACGGGCCCAAAAGCAGATGTAAATGAGGGGAAAATAACAGCGACTCCGGTTTGCAGGTCTGGAGGTTGTGTGGGTGTGAAGGCTGTCAAGATCCATTAGCGAAGAAAATTATAGAGCAGCGGCGGTCTGTTTCCATGTATTACTCTTTTATAAAATTATTTATTAGGTAACCTGGGAGACCTCCTCCGGTGAAAATCAAGTGGGGTTTTTTTTTTGCCTTGTTAATGTGGTAGGGTTTTCTTTTTACATGCCGGACACATCACGGGTAACGTCAGCAGTCGGTTTCAGAGCGTTTCTACCTGCAGCGAGCCGATGACGAATTCAGACTTCCGACGCTTCGTGCATAACAAACCTACATGCAGGCTGCAGCTTTCTGTTTTATACTTCTACTTCTGAACCACTTTCCGGTTATAAGAGTAATTTTTGAGCAGAGTTGTAGGTGAGCTGGTGTGCTGAGCTGCAACGGGGACAAGACTTCATAGATCTGCACAAACTAAAATAAAAAAAATGGACATTTTGAGGCAGACAGGGATTATTTTCCTGAAAAAAAACCTTCTAAATGAATAGTTTGATGCACAGAGGTGAGTTTTTCAGGGTTTAATCGATGGCCAGGGACGATGATGTAGGTGATGATAGTTAAAAAAGGCAGAAAAATAAAAAATTAAAGTAAAACAAACCCTGAAGATCCACTTCCTGTCATACCCAGAGGAGGACCAGTAACTGGATCTTGAGCTTTTCATTCATTCCATCATTAGTAATAAACTTTAGGCTACAGATAGTTCAGGCGTTTTTCTCCACACGTATCTATTATATTAAAATATTAGCACAGTAATATGTCCTCTCTGCCCACAGTCCCTTGATGTTGCACTCTTTCCCTATATGCCTCGCTTTATGATCCCACACAGTCCTGTCCTCAGACCTTTTCTAAATGTGTGACTCACTCCATAAACACAGTCAGAAACACACAGATCGAATCGCTAAAACTGTTCTCACCGTATCGTCTTCCTCCGTCTCAGGGTTTCTTCCGGAAGCGTAAAACCAGCAACCTGGAGGCCTACGTCAACTGGTTCAACAGGCTGAGCTACCTGGTGGCCACAGAGATCTGCATGGTACGTTAAGGAACACCTCCGCCTCACTTCACATTTGGTCTTTTAGGGGTTTTAGGGGTGTGAGTAGTTTTGGAAAACAGCTTCACCTCCTTTTGTTCTCCCCTTAAAGCCGGTGAAAAAGAAGCACAGAGCGCGGATCATCGAGTTCTTCATCGACGTGGCTCAGGAGTGTTTCAACATCGGCAACTTCAACTCTCTCATGGCCATCATCAGTAAGTGTTGAGAGGAAACACACAGAAAAGCATGAAAACACTGTTAGATTACAGACAATATCCGTCCGCCTCTGCGCTGTGTGAGTAACAGGTGAGCTGCAGCGTACGTCAGCCCACATGAAAATACAGAACCAGTCAAATCTCACCCAGATCACACGCTGCTGGACGCTAAGATTCTAATTTTACAAACTTCTCAACAAAAAAAGGGGGCACACTAAAGTCAAACCGTAGTTCCCATCATTTCTTTGTCGAATAACCGATAAATTGAATAAAGTCAACAAATGCAGTGCCAGCTGGAGTTCAGGATAATCAGTTTAAGGAAGTACAAACTGAGTTAGTGGAGGCCCGGAGCGGTCCAGCCGGCTCATTGTGTTAGGCCCGGCTCTGTAAATACTCATGTTTCCTGTGTGTTTCAGCTGGAATGAACATGAGTCCTGTCGCCAGGCTGAAGAAAACCTGGAACAAAGTCAACACGGACAAGTTTGAAATCCTGGAGGTAACGGTCCCTGATGCACGTCTCTGATTGGTCGATTATAGCGTTTATGCTGCACTAGTTGTAATTAGATGTATACTTCCCAACTGGTTGGTTCTCACTGACCGTCTCCTCTGTGTGATCCCTTCCAGCACCAGATGGACCCGTCCAGTAACTTCAGTAACTACCGCACGGCGCTCCGCGGCGCCACCCAGAGGTCCGAGATGGCGCACAGCAGCCAGGAGAAGGTGAGAGAGCAGACGGGATTCATCTAGAGCAGGGGTGCCCAATCCTGGTCCTCGAGAGCCCCTATCCAGCATGTTTTAGATGTTTCCCTTCCTCCAACACACCTGATTCACATGATCAGGATCGTTATCAGGCTTCTGCAGAGCTTCATGATGAGCTGATCATGTGAATCAGGTGTGTTGGAAGAAGGAAACATCTAAAACATGCAGGACTGTGGCCCTCAAGGACCAGGATTGGGCACCCCTGATCTAAAGAGCTCACAACCCCACGTATAGGATGTGAGTGTAAACCAGCTTCTGTGTTTCTCCTCCAGATTGTGATTCCGTTCTTCAGCCTCCTCATCAAGGACATCTACTTCCTGAACGAGGGCTGTGCCAGCAGGCTGCCCAACGGACACATCAACTTTGAGGTCAGTCAGTGGTTCAGATGATGAATTTAAACGTAACACGGTCAGTTTGTTGACATGATTTATGTTCTCAGTCAGTAAGGTTTGATTATTCTCTAAATTACTGCCACAAAGATCCAGTCCAGGCTGTGACCAGAGGTGTCATGACTCCCCCTGGTGGCCAAAAATAGCAACACACCTTCCTCTTAGTGGTTGTCTGTTCAGATTTATTCAGAAGTTTGGATGCTTTTCATTATGCTAACTATCACTTCCTCACGTCTTCTATCCTCCTGTGAGCTGGAAATCATTTCACCTTCATAGTCATGGAGAATTAAAGAATTTAAATGCACCTGGAGGCCAGAGGAGGCCTCAGGATCGGCTCAGAGCGAGGAAACAGGTGTAATCTTTTATGAAGTGCTGTGACGATGTTTGTCATAAACAACTGAAGTCACTGATCCTGTTGGACGAAGCTTCAGCTAAAAGATAAACGATGTGAGGAAACATAATGAAAAGCAGCCTGTTGTGCTGAGATGCTCGTCTTCTTGTTATTTATCATCGTAAAACTTTAGGTGTATTAATCAGATGTCAGTATTAATCCATCTGCTGCGACTGTTTCTCAACAGAAACTGTGGGAGCTCGCAAAACAAGTGAGCGAGTTCCTGGTGTGGCGTCAGGTCATCTGTCCGTTCGACAGGGATCGCCGGATCCTTCAGTATCTCGTCACCACGCCTGTTTTCAGCGAAGACGGTCAGTGTTCAATCTTCTCCAAATAAAATATAAAATCATCCATCTGCTGGGTGTAGTCTGTGGGTTTGCTGCCCTCGGGGAAAACGAATGAAACTGGATTTGTGTGATTGTTGCAGAGCTGCATCTGGCCTCGTACGAGAGCGAAGGACCCGAGAACAACATGGAGAAGGACAGCCGAAGGTCTCTCAGGTGGGTTTCTGTTCAGACGCCTGCAAATCAAACACCTGAAACAGATCCACCAGTATAATAACACCAGTTCCCTTTTGTTTTCCAGATCTTCCCTCCTCCATCGAGAGAATCGATCCTAAGAGGAAGACGACCTCTCCTAGACTGTAAATGAATGAGGCGTCTGAACGCTACAGATTCCTCCTCACGGACGCATTTTGACACGTTTGTGGCCAATGTTCAGGTCTTGAACTTACACACTGATCTGCGAGAGAGCGAGAACAGCTGGGACCACATGCATAATTACAAGGAGCATAAATGATTTGTATATCAGATACTGAAATCCATCCAGTGCCAAAGAATCCCAGTGCTGTAGACGTTCTGACCCTCTGTGCTGGAGAGTTTTCACAGACTGAACCTAATGATTCTCAGGAGGAGCCTGGATCATTGATTTAATCATCAGCCGCGCTTCTTCTTCTTGGACATCAGCTCTGTCCGAGGCACTTACAGGAAGTGAGAGACTGCAGATTGGGTTTCTATCTCCTGTGGACGTCCATCATGGCGACGCTAACGTGGAAGGACTCTTACTTTGGAGGACCTGATGGTTGCAACACTAGCACTGCTGCTCAGCGGAGGGAGGAGACGTGAAAGGAAAACATCGATCTGTATTATATTTAACGGGCTGACAACCGCTTTTAGAAGTGGCGTCGCTGCTGCTTGTTGTTTCGTTGAGTGCTTCAGAACCCCCACTTCACACGGTCATTTCTAAACACTTCCCCAGACGGTTGGTTTTACATGTGATTCGTGCACTTTGGCTCTAACGGTGATGCTGACGGCGACGTCGTTCTAATCATGCTAACGATGCACTTCAGTGTGATGACCTCTAGGATCTGGTGAGCCCGGGTCGTAGGCGTCTCTCTTTACTATAGTATTAAGTCGTATTTTGTATCAGAAGGTTGACAAAGTGTTTGTTTTTTTTAACGTACTTTCTCTGAAGTGTCACCGTGAGCTTGTTGCTGGTTGGCTGGCTCTGTGTTGGTAAGCTACAGTATTTTGTGAATGCAGCACCAGTCTGAGAACATGTGGTTGTTTTTTATTTTCTGTTTGGTGTGAATGAAGCTCGAGTAGAAACAGGAACTTTATCCTCCTCTTCATCTCTGTGGTGACGTGACCCTTTAAAATCCTGCTACGAGTGAAAGTGATGCTACGTTTTTTTAAATGTTTTAAATACGCTCATTTTACGTTTCATTTTATAAGTGTTTTCTATCATACAGTATATGCTTTTTTCTAAATATCTTCTTTTTTTCGTGTATCATTGTGTCGCCGGTCAGGGTACTTGTACTGAAAAGTCTTTGTGAAAAGAGAATTATATTTTTTCTTTCAAATAAATAGAACAACAGAACGACGTGATGTTTGGTTTTTAACACAAACACAATGAAACGGGGGATAAGTAAAGACGTTTATTTACAACACACAATGATTTCCAACATTCATGTCTCAGTGTACGTATTCGCCATCTTTTGGCTCAGAACTTATAAAAAAAAAGTGAAAAGTTGATCCTTGTTTTTCAGTGACTCTGAACTCTGGTGAAGTGAATGCAGCGGCCCTGGAGACAACAGAAGAGGCAGAAAAATGTCAACCGAGAACAGAATTTACAAAATAAAGGAGAAGTTTATGGGTTTAAACTGAATAAGAAGTAAAAACATGTTCCATCATCTGCCAAAATATAACGGATCACTGAAGAGGAAAAACAACACATTTAAAACAAGTTAAATGTCTTCAACTGTTGCATCTGCTTCGGGCTGATTTCTTATTTTGAAAGGATGCTGCCACAGTGCTTCCTTTCTTAAACTTCTTGAGCTTCATGAGGAATCTCAGGGAAAAAAAATTAACTCTTAACCACAGTGTGAAAATGCAGCATCCCCCCAAAACGGTCCGTCTTTCATAAGCTCAGTCAAGGCGACGCTTTGAGGGACAAACTGTAAAGATCAGTAATCAGAGAGCGTCTCTGCGCCACACTGTGCAGGCGTCGCCATTTAGACGTGTTATTTTTAAAGCCAAGCCGAGTCCAAGCTGTTATTTATCTGCTGGGCAGACCAGGGAGGCTGGCGCTGCGTTAGTTTCTGTTGTTATCTAATCAAATCGCTGTGGACTCGAGGGCGGATCACTTCTCCGATCAAACCGACAATTTGCGGCTGAAACAATCGCACGTTGGTGACAGTCCAGCTGGATGTAATGAGACTCTCCCTCATGACAAAAGGACTCTTGATTGATACGTGTTTTAATTTGGAAACGACTCGTTGAAGCGGTGAAACACTTGCCTTGTCCTGAGGCGTCGGCCTCATGATGGCCACCCGGTCGTACTGTCGCCTCAGTAGGGCCAGCAGTGCATCAACACGCCCCTGAAGGTAAAATCACATCAACTGAGTCAATCAAAAACATTAAAAAACAGATTAAACTACACATGTTTGAAGGAACAACAGTGTCAGATGGACAGCAGCCAACATACAGGTGCTGGTCATATAATTAGAATATCATGAAAAAGTGTATTTATTTCAGTAATTCCATTCAAAAAGTGAAACTTGTACATTATATTCATTCATTACACACAGACTGATGTATTTCAAATGTTTATTTCTCTTAATTTTGATGATTGTACCTGAATACTAATGAAAATCCCAAATTCACTACCTCAGAAAATTAGAATATTGTGGAAAGGTTCAATATTGGCGACACCTGGTGCCACACTCTAATCAGCTAGTTAACTCAAAACACCTGCAAAGGCCTTTAAATGGTCCCTCAGTCTAGTTCTGT